AGAAGTTAAGAGGCCATGCTACTAAGAAAATTTGAAGAACACAGCTTTCTACAACCCTTTCTTCCCCCTTTCTCCACCAATCAGGAGTTAGCCCAACCATCAGCTCAACTTCACGCTGTGTCTGTGTGCAGGTCACTTTCCTCGAGGACACACGCTCCATCCTCCATTCAATCAGTCCACGGGATTTCCTTTCCTCTCTGCATTTATGTGTTCATGCGTCCCTGTGAATGTAAGTCCATGTCGTATACGTTGTCTGTTTATTGTGTAGGTAAACGCAATAATTGTTTCTAATACTTTTGCTTAGTCCATCAATGGGGCGGCTGTGGCTCAGGTGGTAGAGCAGGTCGGTCAATGATCGGAAGGTCGGCGGTTTGATTCCGCCCTGTAACCTCTGTCATGGTTGTTGCGTCCTTGGGCAAGACACTTCACCCACCGTGCCTGGTGTGAATGTGTATGAATGGATTGTTTGAGGTGGTGGTCGGAGGGGCCGTAGGCACAGAATGGCAGCTACGCCTCTGTCAGTCTGCCCCAGGGCAGCTGTGGCTAAAATTGTTGCTACCACAACCGGGATGAATGTGTGTGAATGAATAATTGACAGTGTAAAGCGACTTTGAGTGTCTAGAAATAATAATAATTATTATTATTATCATTATTATTAATTTCACCATAAATCTGCCCAAACCTGGTCGGATTGCTAAAATTGACTATTCATTCAGATTACATCAGTATTTCCCACTTTGTGTATTCAGAGGTGTTTTCTCCTGTTTGCAGTGCTGTTGTGCAGCCCTCACTCGGCCCATGTGAGGCACACGTCAGCCATGCCTCCATATTTCATTCGTTTGACCCTTTCCTAGCCAAACTAAACTTTAACTACTAGGAATTGTAGTTTTGTCTAGTTCTAAGGCCTGCTTGTTATAATGTTGTTACAGGGCCATGTAGGACTACACAGCATATTTCATTCATATCATTTTACACTTTAGTGGTCTTATATGTGGCAGTATGTACAGTAAGTAGTACGTAGTTATTTGGAAATTCATATTCTTGTATTTATTTGTTGCTTTCATTGTATCTATGATGGTTACTCATGGTGTTTGCTCTGTTTACGTTGTAGAAACCATGAANGTTTCCTTGAGCCTGCAGCTTGTGCACAGGTTCAAGGTTCAAAGTGACTTTGTTAATACGTAGGTAGATTTGCTTTGCAGAAAACAAATGACAGCGTTTGGCATCCAAAACAAAATACACATTGAACCTGACAGGCAGGTATTTGATTGAGTGGCAAGAAAGACAAAAAAGACAAAAAAGAAAAGCGACAAAAAAGTGCTCAGGATTCCACCATTCATCACTATAACAGCAGGAAGGAAAAAGATAACATCAAATAAACAAGGTCAAGATAAATAAACAGGTTCAATTGTCCGTGCACAAGACGCAGATATGTAACAGAAAAGAATAGCAGCAAAACTACAAGCAAAATAAAACGCAGCATGAATGTTTGGCTTAAATAACCAATGTCTTCAGTGGCATCAGAAAGGCAAAACAGAAAAATAGAAGAACAACAAGAAAGGAAACAGATAACAGAATAAAAACTTGCCTTCAGGGAGAAGCACAGTCCCGAGGATCAGAGTGAGGAGATGCATTTTTTGATGGTGGGATACAAGTGAGATTTAGTTTGATCTCTTCGGGCTATAAGAAGCTCTCCTGAGGAGGGATGGCCTTCACTCTCAGACCACGCCTTCATTCGTCCTTACCCTTCTTCCACATTTATTTCCTCTTAGGTGGACAAATTAATGCATCTCTGTATGTGATTTTTCATCTGTTGGCTGCACGGTTAGACTGTCAGCTGAACCTCAAAGGTCCCAAATATCCCAGATTTACTTAATGAAAATGATTAATTACAAATTTGTTAGAAATATGCATCATTGTACTAAAATACAAGATATGCTGAGTCCTCCATGTTTTGGTTTGGGATTCTGAATATTCTGTAACGCTAATTTCTTATATAAAGTTTTAATAAAGTACCTTCGTTTTTTTCTATCAAATGATTAACAATCAGAAAAACAGTTCTGTAAAATTGCATTATTCCATCACTTGAGGACTATACGGCTACAACCAGCAATGTTTTTTATTATCAGTAGACCTGGTAGGTAATTCCTTTGATTATCAACTGCTTATCAGTCATAAGGTAGATGAGACTACATTCACTATGTAGTCATTATTCCNTCCCTGAACAGTTGAGAGTTGCGTTGCATGATTGTGCATTACAGTAGAAGCACTTTCTGCCATTTGGGGAGGATTGGACGACTGTGGAAGAAAAAAAAAGAAAAAAAAAAAATTTGGAGAGGAAAAGGGATCTGCAGGAGGTGACCTCCCCAAGCTACCAACCATATAAAAGTAAGCATATATTTGTATATAACAAAAGGCAAAGATTTCTGTCACTGGTATCTTTATAGAGTGATTTTAATTTAATGAAAATTATTTTGTTGTATTTATAGTACATGACTATGAGAAGCTGAGCTTATAGGTAATAAACTGAGATTCAAAACTGTACAGCTGTGATTCACAGTTCGGGTTACCACACCATTCAACTCCTCTGTAAAAGGTGATCCTGACTCATCCTGTTTCTGACAGTTTTTGCTCCACGCAGTCAATAAAATGAGAATTAATTATGATAGTTTCAACAAACAAAACAAATTTACACTATATATGTGTGCACACATATGCATACATGTAAATATACATACAAGCTTTTGATGCAATCATAGGATTTGTGTAGTTTTTGCTCATGCAACAAAATGCCACTTTCAACAAATAAAAAGATGCCTCTACATATCAACAGACATTAAGTAAAATACCCGGGGCAGCTTCAGTGTTGCAGAGATCGGAGGAGCAACACTTGCTGGCAATCACAGTCTTTGCGAGTCCAAAGTTGATTGATCCTTCGACACACTGTTCGGCAGGACCACAGCCTTTTGTGGTAATATCAGCGAGTTTCGTACCACCTGCAAAAAGACAGCGGCAGTTGTAAACTGAGCCAGTGCCAAGAAATATCAAAAATAGGTAAATGCCAACTACTATACCTGCATAGGACAGGACTCTGATTGTGCCACACTGAAGACTCTGTGAAGGACATTCTGTAGTGTTGGTGCAATTTCCCATGAAGCACTGATGACATTTCAGGGTGAAGGCTGATGAAACACAAAATAAGCTAAATCAACTTTACTTGTCTAGAAAACATAAACAAAAGAGTTTTAACACATTCGCTCTGAAGTAAATGAATCAGAATTTTAAACATGGCTGCAAAAATGATACCAACTACAATTATGACATGTTTCCTTGAGCCTGCAGCTTGTGCACAGGTTCAAAGTAACTTTAAGACCTGTAGGTAGATTTGCAGAAAACAAATGACAAAACAAAATACACATTGAACCTGACAGGCAGGTATTTGATTGAGTGACAAGAAAAAAAAAAGTGCTCAGTATTCCACCATTCTTCACTATAACAGCAGGAAGTAAAAAGATAATATCAAATAAATAAGATCAAGATAAATAAACAGGTTCAATTGTCCGTGCACAAGATGCAGGTATGCAACAGAAAAGAATAGCAGCAAAACTACAAGCAGAATAAAACGCAGCATGAATGTTGGGCTTAAATAACCCATGTCTTTGTTACGGGACGGTTCCAAGACTCATGCGCGAGGCAACATGACACACAGGCAGCTTAAACAATGATTTATTGGTACACACAGGAAAATAAGTACAAAACTCAAGGAGGTTTGCAGGCAGGGCAAACTACACCTATTAGTGGTTGGCTGAACAAAAGAACTAAGACACG